AAGGAGAAAAGATTGAAACTGTCAAGGACTTCATTCTTCTTGGATCAACTATCAACACTCATGGAAGCAGCAGTCAAGAGATCAGACGACGTATTGCATTAGGCAAATCTGCTGCACAAAACCTTTTTAAAGTTCGCATCCTCACGGTCAACTCTACTTTGAGGAGGCAGCTCTTCCCCAGTCACATTTTGAGTGCCTTCCAACTTGAGGGGCTCATTTTCTGGCTCTATATTTGACAGTGTTTTTCTGCTATTCATAAGGTTTTCAGTGACTAAATATTCAGACGTAGTTTGTCACTCCTTCTTCCTAGTCTGTCTTAGTGTGGAAGCTCATCTGAAACCTGTCCACCACGGGTGACCCTGTTGGTACTTAAAATACTGGTGGCATAGTTTCCAGAATCACAGTAACTCACAGGCCACCACAGTACGACAAATTGACAGACGAGTGGTGGCTGCCGAGGGGTAGCGTGGAGGTAATAAAGCAGCTGTGTGGTAATGTGAATTTTATTCAAAGCAGGTGGAAGTCCTAGCAATCACACATAGGCCCTACCTGAAACTCCCCCCTAAAATACTACCTTTCCAACTCTTCCAATTGTCCATGCAACATTCCCAGTGAATTTGTTTCCTGGACTGCTGTACCAAAGTACCACAAACTGGGCAGCTTGAAACATGAGGAGAAAAAATGTGTTCTCTCTCAGTTCTAGAGGCCAGAAGTTCCTAAGTCCTAAAACAAGCCTCCCAAGGCTCTAGGAGGAGACTCCATCATTTCCTTTTCTAGCTTCTGGTGGTTGCTGGCAATCTGTGGCCTTCCTTGACTTATAAATGCATCACTCCAATCTCTGCCTCTGTCTTTACATGACCTTCTTCCCAGTGTGCCTGTGTGTACTAATTTCCCTCTTTTAAAAAAAAAAAAAAGTTAAGAAAAGATTTTATTGCTAAATGAAGCATTCTATGATGGCTACAGGGTGGGTGGGGAGTGAGGGTAAAGGAAAAATAAAGTGACTAGAGGTAAATACTATTAACTAATGGTACATAGAGTGGATTGCAATCATTGTAAATGAAGTGAAGTGTATAATTGGTTGAATGTAAGACTATAAACATTCACTCAATTCACAATAAAATGTTAAAAACCCCAACAAACATGCACTTTAAATAAGGTACTTATGAAGATACTACTTTTAAATTTCAGGTTGGAATGTGCATTTCACAAAGTTTAAAATTTTCACCATTAGGTAGGTACATGTACATAAGTTATGGTATTTGTAGTATGAAATACATAATATTCATATTTATTCTTCAGTTTCAGTAAATAGCTCCAACGTTAGAATAAATGTTTAAGTTCTTGTGTTAAGTCTGGCAATACTGAGATTTGATTTTCCAACTTACTCTTCTCATTAGAAGTTCTTAAAGATATTGAATTATTGAAATATCTTTACTGCTTCACCTTGGCAAGTTTTTCATAGTATTTTTCATGTAGAGCAATTGCTACATCTTAGAATCTTGGAGGTGGTATGTCTTCAAGTCGATTCTGACTCAAAACAAACCTGTATAGGGTTTCCAAGACTGTAAATCTTTACGGGAACAAAAAGCCTCATTTTTCACCTTTGGAACTTCTGGTGGATTCAAACTGTTGACCTTGTAGTTAGCAGCCAACACGTCACCCACTATACTACCAGGCCTACTTCTTAGAATTTTAGAGGGACCTTATTAGTTCATGAGGGAAAAGCAGAGTAACTTTGCTTTTTAACAAGATCAATGGTAAAATGAAGTACAATGTTCTTTTCTTCCTGTTAGGAATCATGTGTCTTCCTCATCTTTGTTATTACTATTTTTTTCAGTTAGCATCAGTTTTTAGCAAAATTAAGGCATCTCAGACTGTTTCATGTGCTGATACTCCTGTGTTGTGTCCCTGAGTATACATACAAACACACAAACTCTTCCTGGAAATAGAGGAGAGGATACCAGGTAATTTGTGATCCCGGATTTTTCTGAAGTGTTTTCTGACAAAAACAGCAATAATAAATTACTTGTCTACTATACAGCTGTGTGTGAACTAATTTATTTATTAATGTTTTATTGTGAATTAAGTGATAGTTTACATGGGAGAACATTAGTTTTACATTCATCCTATAATATATCATTTCATTGCTATGGTTACAATCCCCTCCATGCATCATCAACCATCCAAAGGATATAC